TACCTCCCTGCCATCCATTTATACCAGCCCATTATCCAATGGGAGAAGTTTTTCATTCAGGTAAAATATCCTTCCGTCTGCTGTCAGAAACAAGGTTTTGATTTATAAGTAAGAACATTTTTTTTCTTTTTGCTTATATTTTAATAAGATTTGGAAATCATTAAAGCTTTTCTGTCCTCATTGGTATTATGGTTTATCTCTAAAAAGCAGTTGTCTGCATGTTATCTTTGTCTATGGAAAAATATAAATTTAATCTCCTCATGTATTGCATTTAACCTCTACTGATCCTTTTTCACCCAAGTCCCATCCACCAATTACTACTCAGTGCAAGTTCATTATTTCTGCCTCTAATAAGGTACATAAAATGATACCTTGACTCCTATTTGAAAAGTGCAGTGAAGTGATTTGTTTTCTTAAAAAGAAAAAAAAAAGATACAAGCCTTTCAGTATCTGTAGCTTATGCATTACCCACCTCTGCTCACACAGCAGGGGATATGATAGCCTGCAGACTTTCCTGGATTATGATACATCTCCTTTGTGAACCTCCTTGTGCAGAACAAGCCCCTAAATACACTCGAGTCAAGAGGTCATTTATTTTTCACCCTCCTCTTCTCAGCAGGAATTGTGAGTCTATGAGATAAAAGTATTTAAAAAAAGAAAGAAAAAAGAAGTTGCATGATCTACAGGTTGTATAAGGGACAGAAAACCTGCCTTCATCTCCTCGCTTCATTGCTCTCTATGGCATTTCCCTGTCAGTTTATTAGTGCTACTTACACAGCCTGCTCTTGGTGAGCACAATGGGAGGCTGGCCCAGGCTGTCAAAGGGGACAGCCTACCCAAAAGTTCACATATTTTGGACCTCTACTTCAAAGGAAAACCTTAGTTGGGGGGTGTGCAACTTTTGTTCTCTGTGGATTTCTTGACATGTTACTGTGATGATATAATTAATGGAAAGCAGTAGAAGATGAAGGGGAGTCACCTTTGCATTCTGGCATTTCCTTAACATTTGTACTAGTGTAGCAAGTTCTGCCACTGTCTGTAGAAAGGAATTCACCAGCCCCTTATCTTTGTAAGTGGTTTACCTGTCATTTTATACCCCAATCCTAAGGCACAGAAAACTGTTGGCTAAAGGAGGCATTTACCCCTTTACCATTTACCCCTTTCAATAATCACAGAGTGATCAGAAAAGATGGAGCAAGGAGAATGAAATCACATTTCCCAACCTTCATGTTGTTGCTAGAGCAAATCCCAAAGTGGAACAGGAAATAGAAGCTAATCAAGAAGTTACTTTGATGTCTTGAAACAGAAAGGTTTAATACCCTGTTTTTGTTATTTAGGAAAACAAAATGTTTCATTGGTGTGATAGTTAATTGTAGTTAGATACAATGTATAATTTAAATTTTGATCCAGTTTTAGGTGAAAAAACCAGTATGATTTTTTTCAGTATTGTCTTCATGTGCAATTTATAACTGGTGTCAAAATTATGTAGTGCTTGAAATCCATTTCATATTTATCTAGGGTGATATGTGAAATCTACATCAGTTTGTTTTTTACCAGAATGCACTCAGTTTATATCTTCCAGATCTGAACGCAGAGACAATTGCAACCTGTGGGGAAAGTTTGTGAAAGTCCGTGTTTACAGTGTGATTCCTGGACACTGCTCCCCCACAAATGGGTTTCATAACATTTATTTGAAAATTGCATGCCTTTGAAACATGCAGACAGACATATTTTAATCAATGGGGGAAACATGCGTACATTTCAAAAGTGAGCACAATTAATGCATGCATGTGCATTAAAAATGTGCATGAATTTTCATGCAACCTAAAGCGCCTCCCTAGCATGAAAACTGATTCAGGCATAAGTTGCAGTGAGTGTCAAGGCACTCAAACAAACCTAGGCAAAGTTGGGGCTGCTCACTTTTTTGCACATCCCTACCTGTTTGTATTAGGACTGATTCATTTCACCATCTCTTCCTGTGGCTGCTTTCTCATTGTCAGTGAAAGCTGTTTATCCCAACTCAACAACCTGAAGCAAACTGCATTGTATTCGTGGTAGCCATGAATTGCACATGCTGACAGTTTGGCTTGTTGTTGTTGTTGTTGTTGTTAAATAAGGGATGGCAAGAATAGGGCTTTAATATATCAGACATGCAGATAGAGTGTTAAAACGTGGAATGGAGGTTGGAGAGCTGAAAGATAAATGATAGTGATGTCTTTTACAAATGACATAACATATGAGGCTGTCTAAGAGATCTCCACCACAAAACCAGTAAGTCCAGGGTCTAAACATGTCTAGCGGTACCTCTGCTTCCAAAGCAGTCAACCAGATGTTTCTTGGGATGCCCATTAAGAAAGGCATGAGGACCACAGCTTTGTCTAGCTTCTATTCCTCAACAACTTGGAATATTGAATCTCGAGGTGAGACAGCCTATCTCTATCATGATTAGCAGCAACCAAGTGCTTTCTGTTTGACAAAATTGTCCAATCGTCTTATAAAGTCAAACTTCTGAAGGCAGTGTTTGTGCATGTTAGTCCTGAAATAAGGATTAGCAGCTCAGTACTTTCTGCAGGTTCTTTGTGATCCCAGGGACTGGTCCTAGAGGAAGCCATTGGCTTGTGTTTTTACAGATACATCTCACTGATAGGAGCTGACTGCAAGGGGGTTGATGAGCATATTCTCACTGACCATTTTGTCAGGAAAGAGACCCCCTCCCCATACATAAATAGTTGTCTTGGCGTAACACTGTTGTGCGGAAGAGACACAACTGCCCTTGAAATTTGCCAGCTTCCCAAGCTATTGCTCATACAGCCATGAGGCACGTTCTTGTTGTCAAACTGCTGAGTTTAGAATTGCAAGTCAGGTGGGCAGAAGGACACATATGAAAAATGGAAAGAGGAATGCACTACCCACTTATACTCACAAATAGGATCCAAGCTGAGGCAGGCTAGTCAGGAATGCCATCGAATGATATGAAATGCTTATCAGTGTCGCACTTTCTTTCAGGCTGAACCAATGTGGCTGCATTTTCCAGCCCACTGAAAGTCAAGTTTATGCAGTGAAAAGTGGCAAAGCTGCATACGGCGTGTCACTCCCAGCATGAGTAATTTGAGGACCTTCTTAAAGGGTGGGGGAGATTTTCCTAGCATTTTAGCTGCCAGTATTGCAACTAAACCTTTGTTCTGTGTAAAATTCCTGTTGGGAAATCTGTCACCATCTCCTGCTTGAATTTGGCAGTGAGCAATTTGAACTCCAGCACTGTCTAACTCATTATAAATGTGCAAGTTCATTTTTGAGGGGAGCTGAATAAAATGGTTATGTAATTACATACTTCTCATAATTATTGAGTAATTATATACTTTTCATAATTGCCAAGTAATCATTCTGCTATAACTAGAACTTAATGTTACAACTAATTATATAATTACTGTGTATTAATGTTGTTATCTAGACAACAGAACAAAGTGTTTCTTTGCTGATAGCTTTTCTAAGCATCATTTTAAAACATAAAAACTAACATTGTTGTGTGACTGAAAGCAGATTTCACAAATTAAAAACACCATGGAAAATATTACTTCTTTGCTATGTATATCCTTTAAATAGAAAGAAAAAGTTATTGCTCCCATTCTTTTTCATGGGAAATTGGATTTAAGAAAATATAATGCACAAAAATATGAGTTTAGTAGGATTTAGTAATCATTAAATATATGATTTTGTGTTTCCCTTCTTCCTTCATTCTGAAGCACCTCAGCTAGACAGCTGAAAATGGCCAAATAGCTGAAATACATGGTAGGAACTACAAGGAGATGGAGTTCAGATTATTGTTTTTAGTCCTGTCATTAGAGACTGGTTCAAAATTTCTTGTCCTTAGTCCCTTCTTTGTAAAGCATTTCTGTGCTTAGTTAATATTTTCTCCTGTATCTTGGTTTCTGCTCCAGCCTAATCATTATCATAACCCTCCTTTAAATCTTTCAGCTTGTCAACAGCTCTGCTGAATGTGATCTCCAGATTGGTTTCACTAAGTTTGCACTGGTGTTGTGCAGGCCATTACTAACAAAGATGTACAGAAATGCTGTTAGTATTATAAGAATCCTTTGCTTACTTCAAAATGATTTGATTGTTTCATCTTAGCAGGAATGTTTAAATCTTCCTTGAATTTTGCTTTATGTAAAACTTGGGTCAACAAACATCTGACTAAAATGCATAGCTAGTATATAATATGTTTGTAGTCCTTCCTGGTTTTGTGTTATACACAAATATACAAATTTTGGTTAAGTGTGTCTACTTCTTAATCTAGTTCATTAATAACTATAATGAACAGGGCCAGAATGTTCCCTGAGTTACTCAGTTCTGTCACTGGTTACCTCTGGTAGATTTGCAGTCTGGTTTATTATAACACTTCATGGTTTTTTGACTAGTAACACAGTCATCTTATAGTGTTTACATGACCAGCCTATGGTACTCACCAACCCTACCTCTTTTCTGAATGATTCATTGATTGTTGCAATTATTTTCCAGCTTTTTTTCTCATGCAAGGAATGTAAGGGAGCTTACATGGTATTCTTCCTATTCCTTTTATCATACAACCATATGCGGGAGGCTGGGCCAAGAATCAGTATCTGGTCCAAAGTCACCTAGCAAGCTGCATGGCTGAGTGCAGATTAGAACCTTGCACTTCGAGATTCTGGCCCAGTCCTCTAACCTACTCTCTTTCTAGCATCCTGTTTGTATCCATGACTTTACCTTGAACAAAAATAATAACTGGCTGTTTTGGTACAGGGGAACTCTTTTACAACAGAAGAAATGTTTATTTATTTATTTATTATTTATTTATTAAAACATTTTTATGCCACCCCATTCGCCGAAGCCTTGGGGCGGCTCACAACATTAAATTAAAATACAAACATTAAGTTATAACATTAAGTTAAAATGTTTGTAAGATGCAAACATTAAGTTAAAATATAAAAAAAAGTTCACTCTTTGCTATCTTTCTCTTCCAGTGAATGGTGATTATGTTATTTTAAATGGGACACGAATTTTACATACCAATAAAGAAGCAAATGTGTGGGTGTCGATTGGAGGACTGGTCCCATTTTCAAACTACACAGTAGAAGTTAATGCTTCCAATAGCCAAGGCTATGTGATCAGTGATCCTGTAACCATTGCCATACCTCCTGGGGGTAAGTATCATGATATACTTTGTACATGTCATGAGGACAGCATGTAAGAACACAGACATTCTCTTGTAAGCATTTTATGACCACAGTTTCAATATCTGAAGGTGGAGTGTAAGCGTACTGTCTCTTACCCTCATTCTCCTATCTAAAAGGAATGCATATTAAGCTGTACTGCATAGAGTTGACCAGAAGAGAGGAAAGCATAAGCACAGCTTTGTAGTTTCCCAACCCTCATGTTGCAGCTTGGGATAAATTTTCATGGTTATATCTGGGAGACCTGCAGTGCTTCAGCGCTAGTAGGATCCAACTCTTTCTTCACTGTGGTCTCTGTGCATCACACACGTATGGATGCTGCACCTGCACAGTTCCTGTTACCAGGATGATTTTACAGCTTTAACAGTTTTGGCGGGAACTCTGCACCCCCCTCCCCTGAAGTATAAATGGGTAGAGTTCTGCTTGCAACTGCCATTCACTGTGCCTCAGGCTCTTTTGCTTATCTCGTTGCCTTTTTTCCTCGATAGCTTTCAGTTTGATTGCCTTCTTTCACTTTCTTCCTCAATTTTTCACAATCACTACTTCCATTCCCTAGTTTGTTCATTTCCCTACCGGACCTCTTATAACTTCCCTCCCCAATCCTATCTCCCCCCCCCCCCCGAAAATAATCCCCTCTATCATTTTCTTACCTGATCGACTATATCTCTCTCTGATATAATGAGCTACTCTCTAAGCACAGTAGGTTTCATGCATAATTTTTGAAAGCTCAGACACTGAGTTCACATGACATAACTACCCATTATGAGTAACTAACCATATTTAGTTGTTTCTTGTGAATCTGAAGAGTCGCTTATTTGTGGTCAAGAAGCCACCCTGACAACTTATGCCTTTTTCTTGGTTTTGTTGTACTCACAATGGGCTTTTGCATCAGTGAAACCCAGATTCAGGCTAGACACCGGGACAAACTTCCTAACTGTCAGAGCAATAGGACAGAGGAACTAGTTGCCAAGAGAGGTTGTGGGCTCTCCCACATTAGAGACATTCAAGGTGAAACTGGACAGTCATCTGTGTGGGTTGGTTTGACTTGGCATCCTGCACCAGCAGGGAGTTGGACCTGGTGGCCTTCTTGACCCCTTCTGACCCTACTATTCTATGAATCTATGCATCATTGTGGGTACATGGACGCAGTAAGCAATTTGCTCATCCAAAAGCAGCAACCCCCCCCCCCCCCATTGCCACTCCTGTCAAGCTCATCCAGGCCACTGCCAGTGACAGCCACCCAACCAGATGGCACAGTGGAGAAAATGTCACTGGCTTGCCCTGATACAATCATGGCCTTTTCCTCTTTAAACTCTATTTTGAAAAGGAAGCCTGAGTTTTCATGATGCCTATCAAAACTGACAGCTTCTAAAAACTGAGTATCTTAGGCTTAACACACCTAGAAGCTTTTCAGGAAAAAGGCTAGAACATTGCGAACAGTCAGGTCAAACCAAAAATATGAGGATCTTGCAATAAAGGGAATGATCCGCTTACTACCCCCTTTTGCACATAAAGATCCCTGGCATCTTTGCTTTTCTTTCACAGCTTACTTTTGACAGCTGTCAAGACAGCACAAATTTAAAAAAATAAACCCATTTACAGCGTGTGTAGGTTAGTGTCCATTCTAGTGCCACCTGCATTTTGACAGAAGATGCAGTCTTGGGGCATTGCTGAGCTATTCCATTTCAGATCTCTTCAAGTATGCACCTCTATGCTTGCACAAGACAGACACACACAGAGAGAGAAACACAGACACACACTTCTTGTGTTTATGATAAAAGATGGAAAATCAGGAACAGCCCCTCCAATGTGTTGAGTATGTGGTTTATTTGTGTAAAAAATGTTACATTTTCATCAGAGACAGAAAGACTCACCAGGAAAAAGGAGAATATTTTTAAAGACAGGCATATATTTATGCCAATTTATTCTAGGAATTATGCTATAGTTTCTTCCATCATTTGATTGTTGTTGATTACAATTAGGAAATTTATAGCTTTGAAATGATCTTTTTTATGACCTTGTGGTACTTTAAAAGCAATACCTCATTGATTAAATAGGTTTTAGTTCATGCTTCCTTTTACTTAATGATCTGAAAACATATTATCCTGATTTACACATAAAATCATGCTGAAAAGCATGTGGCATTCACTAAACTATGTGTGTTTAAGTAGAATTAAATTAGCACTGAAAGTTATTAAAGAAATCTCCCATCCCATTGTCCAGTGGACTGTGATTCATCCTGAAATGAGTAACAAACGAACCAGCACATATGAGAAAAGCACTGATATATAGGACAATCTTTAATACATATTTACTTTTCCATTATATTTTACTATAATAATTTTGTATAAGTACATTAAATCTTCAGGTCCTAGTGCCACATTTTAAATTAAATAGTAAACTGTAGCACTCTGTTGTAATCAGTTGATAAGAGGAATTTATTAGAAATGAAAAAGATTTGAAGAATTGTAGTTTGAGTCCAGTTTTTGAAGACGTTTGACTGTGTGGTTATTCTCTTTTGAAAGGAAACATTCTTCACTAAAGTCTATCCTTTTAGTCCTGTTCCAACATTAATGACATTGTATAACGCTGGCCATGAAGTTGCACTCCCATCTGGGCTGTGACCTTGAATTACAGGGAGAAAGGTGCTAAAGATTACACGAACTCAGATCACAGTGCTATTGGCATTTGTATACTGGTGTTTGTATATTGAAACAACATGCAATGATTACAATATTGTCTGCAACCATTTGGGTCATCCAGAAGTCTTTATTGGAGACCAATGGTGATGACTCCACTGGTATTCTTGACCATCATAGTTCAAAAGATTTAACACAGTCTCTCAGCATGCATTCTCTGGCAGTATCAAATGGCTGGTTACTCCTTCAATCTGTTCACCCTTCTCCTACAACAGCAAAAACTGGAAATAAGCCAAGAGTATACCCTTGACATGTTTTAGGTGGGTAAAGCATCCTGATACATTTTTAGAATATAAACTCCCTGTTCTTTGGTATGCAACATATCACTTGCATGGAACGGCTCCTGACCAGTTTGATTATGTAGTCTGGCTAATATTAATCTAGATAACTATAGAATATAATGATGGGAATCTTCCAATAAACTGACTCTAGCATAATCCTTCTTTATGTATTCATGCAGACTAGGTCCCATTTAAACACAAATGTACCATTAGAATTCTTCATTTAATTGAAGGAAATCTGTAGAATTGCACCCCCACACAACATGGGTCTCTGTGTAGGTACTTTACTGCAAGGAGACTATCGTTTGTAGCTGTGTTTTAGATTAATGCTGTCTAGTAGGGGTTGAAATCTCAAGTTTTAATATCAGTTAATGAAGAATGGGAATTGAGAAATATGTAAAGGATTGAACCGAAAGCCTTAATTAATTGCTGGGATTAATCAATTAATTTCCCTGTGATAAAAAGAGCACTTGGTTTATTTTATTTGAAGCTAGTTCCTCTGAAATAATACTTACTGTTCTTTTGAACATTTAATAAATAGTTTTTGATTTTGGCAATTGTATATTTGAGATGATTTTTGGGAAAAAATTGCCTGTGTAAACTAATCAAGATAATTTATTATTTTAAATGAACTTTTAGTATAAACTTTTTTTATTTTTAATTAGTAGCAGTTTTCCAAACCAAATATAATTTGCTGACATAAATTTTAAAAAGAAATCATGACTGGTAATGAGTTATGTGTAGTGTGAGTTTATTCATTTGTAACAGAAAACAAAAACAAAAAAGACATATGTTTCAAGCAAATATTGGACAAGAATATTATTGTTAAGGACTAGCCCATAAATTGTAGAGAATGAAAATTCTTTAAAGGCTGCTATTGAAATGGTAACATCTTCAAGTTCTGGACTAGTTCTGTTTGATTTGATTGAAGAAATGTGAATATAATCATGTTTCTGTCATATGTAATTTAACTTATCTAAATATGAGCAGTCCAATCCTGCAGTTGTTGAATAGTCTAGATGGCAATAGCCTTTTTTGGACTTCACACTCTGATCTTGAAACTCGCTCCAAGGTTAAGCTGGGCCTGAATTCAGTGAGCTCACCCTCCACCCTCACAGCTGATGCAGAAAGAATTGTACGAGCTCAGCTCCGAGATCAGAAGAATGACCTTGGAGATGGGCTTTGGGAATGAGGAGGGGCAGATATAGGCTGTTCCAGTGTACAAAATATCCTCATACTGTGCACTTCCTCCCTGAATATTTAGATAACTAAAATTTACCATCTATGTGTTTTACAACCTTCACCTCTCCTCTCCTGCTGTCATGCAAAGGATACCCATAATCTTCCAAGTTCAGATGATTGTGGGGAGCCTCACTGGATTGTGCCCTAACAAGTAATATTTTAAAAGTTTTTTTTTCTAATTATGTTAAGAATGTTGAAGATTCAGTGTTTTCAATTTATGTAGACTAAAGACTTTAGACCGCTAAAGTCAAGGCACATCACTTTCATACAGGGTTACAATTCTATCTAGTTTCTTCAGTTTTCCAGTGCTAGCTTAAAAGTTCTTGTAAAATGAAGTAAAATAAAATAAAAACAGAACCCAACTGTTAAACCATAAATATGAAACTTTGTTCTGACCTTTCCCCTCCAGAGGTCTTGAGTTACTAATGGGGTTAGGGTTTCAACTCTTAATGGGACTTGGTGCATTAATGTTTTGTATGTATGGAATTTGGCATTCGGTTTAATAAGTGCTTGACATTGGTGATGTCCCTTAATTTGCTTAAATGTAATTGGTTCTTTTATCAGTCAAACCTGTATGGATTGGCAATTGATCAGAAAGAGGCAGCCATGACTGTGCATGTAGTTAAATGATAGAACCACCACTTAAACTCAGTGTTGCATTATAATAAGCTGAAACTAGGAGAACAAATGATCTTAGAGTTGTTAGGTGAAAGAAAACTGAGAAGTTTTGCATGATGTTCAAGTTCAG